CAGCCCTGCGAGGCAGGCCAGAGGAGGAAACCGAAGTCGTGCATGGTAATGCTACTTTTATAAGGTTATTGCAACAGAATCTTGCAAGTCTGAAAGCTTGTCTTGGTGAAAACTGGGGAGGGTCTCATCTGAGGGGCTCTCTCAGGTTGCCGTTCTGGCCTGGACTCCGGTTTCTTTTATCTGACTTGAAGATGGGTGGACTTCAACTCCCAGAATTCCCCAGCCAGCCATGCTGGCTGGGGAATGCTGGGAATTGAAGTCCACCCATCTTCCAGTCAGATAAAAGAAACCGGAGTCCAGGCCAGAACGGCAACCTGAGAGAGCCTCTCAGATGAGACCCTCCCCAGTTTTCACCAAGACAAGCTTTCAGACTTGCAAGATTCTGTTGCAATAACCTTATAAAAGTAGCATTACCATGCACGACTTCGGTTTCCTCCTCTGGCCTGCCTCGCAGGGCTGATGGATACGCTAGTTCTCCTAGACATTGAGGCGTCACCGAGATTCACGAATGGTGTCTGGGGGGTCAGGGCAAGGAGAAAATCCGTTCTTCTCCAAGGGCTTTGAAGCTGTGGAAAGATCCAAGGAAAGAGGGAGGAGTTCCAGGCGGGATGACAGGGAAGGGCTTCTTTCTGCGGACCCCCGTTAACCTGCGGGACTGCCTGCCGCAGGATGTTGTGTTGGCGTTCAGTGTCGTTGGCTTGAAAACGGGGGAGATGGGGCATCCAAAGAGAAAGTTGTCAAGGGCAATGCAGCCTCCCAGGTGGCACTAAATTCGGTGTATTTGGGGAATTCCCCTTGGTCTTCTTTTCTGCCGGTGGGCTTCCCGGAGAGCTTGTCCAAAAGAGGATGGGGTATTGGCTGGTGGGCTTTTCTCATTCGCCTCTCCTTTCTCCAGCTCCTTCCCAAGGCAGCCTTCCTTGCACCACTAGCAGTGGGTCGGCGGCCGTCGCACTGGAGGAAGACGCACCCGAACAGGAGTTGGAGGAAGAGCCTGAACCCGAAGTTTACACCCTCCAAGTGAGCTGCGCGTCGGGCCCACGTTGGCGGTTTTCTCCTCTGGGAGGGGGCCGAGGGATGACCGCTGCCCCTCTGCCTGGCCTGGCTGGGAGGAGAGCTGGAAGAGGCGGATGCTCCAGCTTTGGGTGCCAAAGGGCCAGGGGGCGTGGCGGCAGGGGGGCGTGGATCCCTCGCGTTTGAACCCGGGCTGGCGTGCTGAGGGGCCCCCTTGCTTTCCAGATCCACAATCGCAAGCACTACGTGATGCTGAAGAAGCTCCTGGAAGCCCTTGAATTCCAAGAAACGAGCCAGAGGGAGGACTTGGAGAGCTGCACGTGCGGGAAGAGGTGGGTGAGGGTCCCCTGCCCCGTCCACGTGAAAGCCACAGCTGGGTTCACCCTTGGCGTGGTGCCAAAGGGACGTCTCACATCACACTTGTGGCTTCGGGCTCAGTGTTTTGTGAGGCTCTGAATCCTAGGGAGACATTTTCCCCATTCCTGGGCACCACTAGGGGAGTCTGCGGGGTGTGGTCAAAAAAGTCAAGATGGCAGCCCCAACAGTGCAATTGAAGCTCCGCCCTCTTGACGTTGACCACACCCTGCAGACACCCCAGGCCCCACCCTGGAAGGAGGACTCCGAGAAGTCGGAATAGGCTAGAGAAGGGCAATGAGGGCGATCAGGACTAGAAGCTTAAGTCCTACAAAGAGGGATGGGAGGGCTGCTCAGTCCTGGGAAGGGAAGATGGAGGGTTGGGAATAGGATGTTCCTCCTGAAACACCTGCAAGGAGATCAGGATGCGTCCTCCATCGATCCAGGGGGCAGGACATAGAAGAAGAGGTCAGGAAGTTGCAGGAAGGCTGATTCCCCCGGGAATGAGAGGGAGAGTGGAAGCACGGGAGGGGGCGGTGGTCTCCCCTTTTCCAGGGGCGTTCAGGCAGAGGCTGGGCAGCCCTCTCGCTGGGGATGCTTCCAATAGGGCTTCCTGCCCCGAGCAGGGGTTGGGCTGGGTGGCCTCAAGGGAACCCTTCCGACACTTAGAAACCCCAGCTTCTGCGTTGGGAGGGCTTCAGTTGGGGTCCCTGCCCTGAGCAAAACAGTGGCTTGTATTTCTGACTACTGGCACCGTTTCAGGGGCCGGATGTTTTGGTAGCTGCATCCCACCCCTCTGTTCTCAGGGCCCCAGGGGTGTTGTGGGGGTGGGGCCGTCTGCACCCCAGCTGGCTGCCCTCCCATGGGATTCTGCTTGCCCCGGCTGCAGCTTGGCTCGCTCACTCGGGCTCTTTCCTCCCTCCAGCCTCCTGAAGAGCAGGAAACGCCCGAAGTTTGCTTCGCCCCGTCGAAAGAAAGTCCAAGTGAAGGATGAGTCGCAGGACTCCGACTAGTTCTCTCACACGCGCGTGTCCTGCCCCCCACACCCACACCCACACCCCGTCTGCTTTGACTGTCCTGTTCCTTCCCCGGCTCCCTTCTCCGGTTTTAACTTTCAGGGATGCTCCATTTCCCAACCCAGCCTCTTCCCGAGCTGTTTGGCC